TTACCTGAGATCTACTATGATGCAAGAACGTCTCAGTGGACTTGCCATTATAAGCATAAACCATGTGGTCTCAAATCAGTTGTCATATGATGATGTTGTAGATGACTTTGCTGCAAGAAAAACCAGGAGAGTAAAGCTGTAGCAGGTTATGTGAGATTGAGGAGGTGATGGTGTAGTTTTTAAGTTACGGCAGTACCAAAAACACCACTAGAGGTCTTTGTAAGATCATCTTTTTATTTTTATTTAAATCCTTGTATTTTTTTGTGCCTACTCGTTTCTTTAATATCTTATTTTGCACAGTGCCGTATTTATAGTTTACACTTTTTATTTTGGGAGTATTAATAGGTACTTTATGTAAGATATTTATATTGTATTTCATATGTTCAGTTCATTTTTTTGTATTTGTTTCTTTAATTCTTTCTAAGCATTTTGAAGGTGCAATTGCTTTATTTAAATAAAAGAATGTCCAAGACAAAGCTGTTACGTTTCTTATGAGTATATACACTAGCAGTGGAATTTACTGCGATGCAACGGGGCGCCACCTGAAATCTTGCCTAGGGCACCAAATTGGTTAGGGCCGGGCCTGAAGCCAGATGTGTTTAAACTACTAAACGGACCCTGAGTATCAACCTTTTTATTCGTTTTGTTTTATTTTCCAAGGTTATGAATGAGTTTGACACTTTTTCACCACCTTCTCTGCTGTGGCTGCAGAATCCTGCTGCGACAACACTTGTCTACATTTTATTCTTCTATTGCACTAACTTTTAAGCCAGTCTGAGAAAAGGTATCAGTCAAATGATTAAAATGTAAATGTTATTGTTTTATCCTGGCCATCTTTCTCAGTGCTAACAGGACAAAATGGTCATCAAACCAGAATATAAATTTTCCCCACAAGAGGGTTTAGCATTCGTTGTCAGCCAGGGACAGCGAGTGAGAGGTTAAAGGCAGATGACAGTAGCCCTCATCAAAGAGAAGCAATGGCAAGATGGACAGAAGAATGGAAGGAGAAAAGAGGAAAAGAAAGGATGGAGCTTTGCTCTGTACTGATTTATGAAAGTTCAGTGTAGCTGGAGAATTAAGCAAAAACTACTTGACCAGGTTGAAATGAGTGTGACCTCATTTTTGGTCTCTCCAGAGGAACAGCTCAACCCCTAGAAGTTTCAAGGAATCCAGGAAAGGACATGTCATAGCTATATTTATCAGTACAAGATTGCTTCTATCCCTCTGCCACTAGGAGCCACGCTGAAAAGTGTGATTTATGGCCCTGCTCTTAGGTACTGAAGTGCACTCCTCCACTGCCAACCTGGCTGACTACATTCTGATTGGCAGAGAAAACTTGAGCCACAGGAAGTGTCTCAGCTGAAAAAGGAGACCCGTCGTCTTTAAAGAGAAAGAAAGAATTAGAAGATGGCAGCATATTATGAAGAAATACAAGGAAGCCGATACAAGAGCTAGGTTTGTCAAATCCACGTTTGCTCTGTTGCGTTCCTGCTGTTCATGTTCATTCTGGTCACACAGAAGACACAACGCTCTCTGCAAGAGCAATGTCCACGCTGTGCAATAGATACACAAATGGGCCAGTAGCGGCCAGCTGGCCTGAGTAGGGGAAGGTTTGTGGTGGCAGCGAAAAGACGGCTTAAGATGACAGAGTCAGGCTATGAACTAAAAGTCAGGAAAACACATGGACACGTCTGGCAGGTATATCTTACTTATTCAGTGCTTATGTGATAATACTCTCACCTAACTTCACATCACCATCAACAGTAATCACTGTTCTTTCACCATGGCTTAAATTTCAGCTGGTCCCCTGAGACCAGCAGTATTATTGGAGGGGTTTCATTCTTCACACGTCTGATCTCCTTATACAGTCTTGCATCTTCTACCCCTCTGCAAGTATCGCCATGACTAAACATCAAAAAAATGGTATCTGAGAACAATAAGACCAAAATAACTTAAGGCAATTTGAGGCTCTGTCACTGAATGAACCATGAACCTCATCTGGAAGATGAACACATCTGCTGCCTCTTTCAATTCCAGTTAAAAGTTACAAGAAGTCAGACATGAGTCCAATCTGCCTGACTGCATGGCCGGAGGGCACTGCTGCGGCTCGGAGTCTGTACTGACAGGTGATGGAGTCCCTCAGAGCACACGTGGCACATCAGATCTTGTAGTGGTGATGTGGTGGGTTTGAGTCCCATCTATGACCTGTTTACATGTCATCCCACCAGGAAACTACTGCATTCTCCTTCTTTTACTAATTTACCAGCCAGAAGTGTACAGACCTATATACACATGCTGCATGTCATGCTGTAGTTACTGTGTTAGGCCTGTGGACAGGCAGAGACTTTGATTCTCAGCAGATGACATACACACAAAAGAGCCGAGCAGCGCCATATTGAATTTGTTCTCCTGAACTTTAACTCTAATTGTTGCACATTTGTAATGACTACTTCATGTTATAAATATTTTAAATATGAAACCACACTGTCAGGGGCTTGAAATGACAGAGGAATGATGTGTTTAGGTATCAGAAAGTTGCCAAATCTTTCAGTGTCTCTGATGGTTTAACAACTTAAAATTGTATATGCATTACTGTAATGGAAAACGTGGCTAATCCAAGCTCAGATGAGACTGTTAACGGCACATTTAACCCATTATGATGTGTTTATATGGCCTCATGTTGAATGAAAAAACTGTTGCTGGTTTAGTCAGAAAAAGCACATGAGTCAAAAACTGGGCCGAAGGACGAGCACTGAGAACGACTTCACATCGGATGGAAATGTGGGAAATTACTCTGCATCCATGTTTAGAAAACCAGACCGACCACGTGAAAACACACGAGACAAACTGGATTGATTAGCTGGACATGGTTCCACGCCTGTTTACAACATGTCACCTGCTGATGTTGAAGCCATGACAACAGATGCAGCTGCCGATTAATGTAAATGTTAAAATAGAATTAAAGTGAGGACGGCGTTCACGCGCTCTCGGTTACTGCAGGAAGAGACTGAAGAGTGACGCTGGGAAATTTGACCACTCAAAGGAAATGGAGCCAGTGAAAACAGATTTCATAGATGATGTCATTAGTGAATTAAATGCTGCTAATGAACGGACTTATGGGGGAAAAGAGAGAGAGAAAAGAGTGAGAGAACATGAAGAGAAGGAAAAAGGAAGAGGGGTTGAGGGAAGAATGTGAAGGAAACAAAGGAAAGAAAAAGAAATAGAAGAGCAGGACTAAATAAAAGAAATGAAACAATGATGAAAGGGCGGATGACAAAGGAAAGAAAGGGAAGAAAAGGGGTGAAGAACGGAAGGAAAGAGAAGGAAGAGGAGAAAAAGAAGCATTGTCAAACAGGCAAGAAAGATAAAGGGCAAACAAATAGTAAAAGAGGATAGAAGGACTAAATACAAACACAAGGGAAGCAAAGGATGAATGAAGGAAAGGAAAAGATGAAAGGAAGAAAGAAGCAGAATGGGAAATGGAAGAATATAAATAAGATAAAAAGAGGAAAGCATAAGAAGGAAGAATGGAAAGAAAAGAGGTGAAGCATAAGAGGGAAAGACAAGAGAAAAGGGGGTGGGAGGAAGAAAGGAAAGAACAGAGTAAGACGGAAGGAGAGAAGGGTAATATAAATTCTCGAAGAAAGGAAGGAGTGACAGATGAAAAGAAAATGGCAAATGAATAAATAATCAAAGAGACTGACAGAAGAATAAAGGAAAAAAACAAGAGAAGAGGAAAAAGAACAGAGGAAGAGGGAAGGACAAAATGATAAAAGAGATGGGAAGGATGGAAATTGGAAGGAAGACTGACAGAACAAAGAAGGAAAGGAAGGATTAATGGAAGGACAGAAAGAAGGGAGGGCGAAGGAAAGCAGCCAGGTCTGGGTGAACTGCTGGAGCTCAGGTTACCAGAACAAATGACAGTGAGGAGATTGTCTGGTGACAGAGGTGAACGACCCCGCCGAGCAAACCGAACACGACACAACAAAAGACCTGGCAACACACAGTTCAAAGAGCCATCTGATTAAAAATACTGCATATTTGTGGTTCACCAGCAGTTGAACTGTCCTGCAGAGATGACACATCTCTCGTTTCACTACAATCGTTTGCTCCAATTATTCAAACTGGTTCCATATTTGCATCTTCTGATCATCCCCACACTCTTGGCCTGTGCTCTCAAGCTGACGCAGACCAGTTTCCTCTTTTTATTTACACACAACAAGGCTGTTGAAGCAGGCCTAAATGCCACAGCAGCTCCACCGCTGGGCATTTGCTTTGAATGTTTAAATCCTGTCAACAGTGTTTTAATGATTCTGCTACTGCTGGAACGAAACATCGTGACATGTTGGCACACATTCCCAGCCGAGACCATTTGTTTGACCCAGTAAACTGAGAAAGAGTCTCCAGTGCGTTGTATTCCCTCCACAGCACATATTTGTTCAACAAATTGGAGAGACATGTTTAATTAATTTGTCAGCTTGGTAATGGAATGGTAGTAGCAGCTGCAGAGAGAAAAACATGTTTTTGCCCTAAACTGACACATTTTGGTAACACTAAGGAGGTTTACATGTGTTTTTTTCTGTAAAATTCCACATTTATTAATTTAAAACTGACAAACGTTATATAACTAATCAAGTATCCCTTCAGTCCTCCTCACTTTGTCCCTGTTTACAGGCCAAACACGCGCTTTGACCAGGCCTTATATCTCTCTGCACTTAATGCAACAGGGAACCCTGGAGCCAAGAAGGTCAGGGCTCTCATTTAGAAAACTGTACTAAAAGTGTACGAGCGCCCAAAAGCTACAAATGGTGTATACAAAAAAATATTCAGACTCATAAAACCGTGCGTACGCACACATGTAAGCAATGCCCGCTTTATATCCCGTCTCATGCACGAGCGTTTTAACCATAAAGGTGAGAAAAGAAGAAGCGTAGCTACTCAGACATGGAGACACTTGTCGGGAAGGTGGACACCAGGAAAACGACTTCACTTAGTGGATAAAGCAGCAGGATCACTAACAAAAAGAATCCGAGTGAGTAGCAACAAGTTGCTGCTCCTGTAACTATGTCGGTGGGACAGGGCCAAACGGTGTCCAGATCTAAAGGGACACTGCATCTTTCTACTCCTTGACCAACATGTACGTCATCTGTGTTGCTTGACGATTTGAGGGTGTTTTACCTTGATGCGCTTATTTGTATTGAATGTGCGAAATAAAGAATCTCATTTATTCAAGGAGTGGACAAGTGATAACAAATTAAGATTTTAAAAGACGTGTTTATGAAACAATTCTCAAGCACAAATAGCCCTGCTGGGTTTAATCTTCACGATAACGTGGATCTAACGTATCATATGAGCTGAAATTAAATGTGTGTGAGGCATCAATACTTATACAGTAGTCGTTCCTCTCACATTTAATTTCTACTGTCTGACTTCAGTTCATCATCTCTCTGCCAGTTCCCCTTGTCTCCAGGATGTGCGCACACAGGGGTCAGTTTACTTACAGGTGCACACATTCTCCCGTTAAGTTTGGGTTTTACAGATCGAACCCTGTGCATGGGAAGTGACGTGCGCCACTTTCAGTCCCTGTTTTGTGCGCACGCCACGTTTATAAATGAGACCCCAGATCTCCTGATCTGAGCTGGCATGGATCCTGCAGATACACTGCCAACACACCCTGTTCAAACCGCTTTACACTGTAGGTTGTGTTGCTGCAAGCCCGACCTGACGACCACCACACCTTTCACTCCTAGCGCTGGCGCGGACAACAGCGGGCGAATACAGACCTGACCTGACTGCGATAGGGCTGTAATAACAGCCCGTAGCGCAGAGGCATTAGTGGAAGGATGCCTCTCGTTAAAGCTCGTGTTTTGTTTTTTTTTACTTCACATTTGCAATCCAAGAAAGGTCTCAGCTTAAGGTGGTTTACGAGGCGTTTGCACACAGGACTTACGCAAAGCCTCTTACGGGTACTTGTGGTTCTCTCGGGCTCGGGGCAAAACCCACAGACAGACATGTTGCTGATTCCACAGCCTGTAGAATAATTGTGTTTTGCGCGGGAGGTGGACGGTGCTGAAGGAAATACATGTCCGTTAACGCAATGTATTGCCCCAGCTGTGCACCACCACCACCACCCCCACCCTCATCATCCCAGGTTTCCCACACATGCACATCAATATGCAGCACACACTCTCCTGCAGCTCGGCGCCTCCAGCGACGGCACCGTGTGCAGCACCGCTCTCCTTCCCCCTTTATTCCCCACAGCAGCGCTCACTCACAATCAGCGGGATGGTCCTGTCGTCCCGGTGGATCTCCAGCCGACCTGGGACCACCTTCTGCCCATGGCCCCTGCCGCGGGTCTGTGACGACGACGACTGGGGCTTGTTGTCCTGCCACAGGTAATAAAACGTCCCCAGGATCCAAGCAACGGTCAGAATCGCGATGGCGTTGGCCCGTATCCTGCGCATGGTGAGCCCATATGGAGGGCTCCGGAGGCGAGCCCTGCTGGTTCAGGTCCGTCCGCGGCAGAAGGTGCAGCCTCCTCGCCAGTGATGGGTTGAGCCGCAGCGCACACAGACAGCCTCTGTCTCCCCGAGAACAGACTCTTCTGCCGGAGCGCTGGCTCTCTGCTGGGATTTGCGCACTGACTGAGCCACGGTCCTAGCGCCGAGTCATATCATCCCCCTTCACACAAACACCCACGATGACACACTCACGTACATTCACACATCATCCATCCTCTGGCTCCTCCGAGGAGAGATGTTCAATCTGCATTCAGCAGCTGAGGGCGCAATTCCAG